TCGATTTTAGGTCTGTTCGATTTTGAAAACGTTCGAATTCGTCGTACCCCCAAGTCTCCAATTTAGAACGTTATTCATTAAATGAACTTTCAAGCGAATAACCACACTTCGGTCGGTTGTGGAAGATACAACATCAGATAATATCCTTCTAAATAGTATTTGATATTCGATATTCGTAAATGTTTTATCTTTCGCTACCGACAGAAATTTGGTTAATCGCTTGAAAGTTATTTTAATCAGCGACGTTCTAAATTGAATTCTTGCAAACTCCAATAGCCGCCCTAGAGACCATCAGTTAAAAACGCGTTCAGGGCCGTTAGTGACATTTCGATGCGCCTTTAAAAGCAGTACGGTGTTTCATTCTTCATATTTTGTTTCAAATCAAGCCTTTTTTCGACAAAATAACCTACAAACTCTGCTTAAAATACATAATTTTCCTACAAAAATTCATAGAAATCAATTGCCTTGTTAAAAATTAACTCATTGAAACTCGAAACTGAACGAGCCTATAGTTATCTTCCATTTTTTCAGTGGGAAAATCTCGAATGTCCGAAATGCCACCGGAAAGTCGAAAACAGCGATGTGCTCACAGAACATCTCGTGTCTAATCATGGAAAAACGCAAGACAAAGTGTGGTTCAAACAGTTCGGAACACTTGGATCTGATATGGCGAAAAGCCTTGACAAGGCTCTAAGAAAGCAAGAAGAAACAAGTCTCGTCAAGAAGTAATCATTGCGCTTCCAATAGAAACATATAATTTCGCTTTTTTTAGAAAATTCGGTGATTCAAACGATTTGATTACATGTCCTGTTGCTTCTCCATTAGCTCCATTTTTCATGATGCGGCATTTTCAAGTATTTCGAGACGAAATGTGTCCGTCGGCAACGGAAGGAATTGTTGTCGGCATAACGGTACCGATACAATCTGTTGAATTATTGAATTTAATGTTACAGAATGATGAAAAGAGCTTTTCACCCATCTTCTGCTTCCAAAAACTCGATAAAGCTAGGCGAAGAATCAAGCGAGGACTATTGAGAAAAACAATGGAAAAGTGAGGGTTTTCGCATAAATTTATGTGACAAATAAATAATTTCAGGAAGGTGAAAATTCTCGAGAAACGTTGCGACAAAGTTTCCGTCGACGAACCGGACATCGTTTTCAAAAAATCTCGAACGGCCGATGAGACTCGCGATCTTTTGCAAGCACTGAATCTGCCACCAACGGGATCTCAGAAAGATATCGTTGAAAGAATCAATGAGCTAAAGACGAGATACGAAGAGATCAGGTTGGTTCGGCTATTTTGAAGATATTTCAGATAATGATATATTTTACAGCAATGTATATCTGAAAAACGTAAAGCCTGATGGAAAAGTAATGTCGGCTGAAGAGAGACGCCTCATATCCTCACTCACAAACGATATGGTCACTCCGGTTGCTGGAAAACGAAAAACGACGTATAAGAACCCGAGTG